TACACTCTACACTCTACACTCTACACTCTACACTCTACACTCTACCCTCTACACTCTCCACTCTACACTCTACACATTCTACACTCTACACTCTACACTCGACACTCGACACTTCAAACTCCAAATTCCACACTCCATACTCTACACTCTACAATCTACACTCTACACTGTACACGCTACACTGTACACTTTAACTCTACACTCTACACTCCACACTCTACACTCTACACTCTACACTCTAATGATCTTAAAAACTATCCTGAGATGTCTCTAATGGATTTGGAATCCACAATTAATCACGGATTTATTTTATTTCACAGAAAATTCTTTTCCGAAATTAATCTATTTTCTGAAAACCATTCAATATAGATGTTTCAGCTTATTTTTTGATACATTGTTCAGTTATTAGGAATAAAAAATTCTGTATTTAAAACTACAAAGAAATCTTTTGTAATGGTGGAAATTCAATAATATTCAAAATTTCTAGTTTTTTAGGTAGTTTAACAGTCCACCAGTATCACACGTGATAGAGTAAAAAAGTTTTTTTGTGAAATTTTTATTTGGTTGGATACAACTTTATTAAATGAAATAATCAGCTAATTAAAATCAATAACCATTTAGTAAATACATGATTGTATGATGGATATTTTTAAATGTTTTGATGTACGTGGATAATTAATTTGATACTAACAGGATGCATTTAGAAAATGCTTAGAACTGAACATAATATATCTAAATAATACGTTTTAGAACTAAACGTAATGGTTTAAGATAATGTTTTAGAACTAAACATAATGGTTTTAGATAATGTTTTAGAACTAAACATGGTGTTTTTAGATAATGTTTTAGAATTGAACATGGTGTTTTAGATAATGTTTAGAACTGAACATGGTGTTTTTAGATAATGTTTAAAACTAAACATAATGTTTTTAGATAATGTTTTAGAACTAAACATGGTGTTTTAGATAATATTTTAGAACTGAGCATGGTGTTTTTAGATAATGTTTTAGAATTGAACATGGTGTTTAAGATAATATGTTTTAGAACTGATCATGGTGTTTTTAGATAATGTTTTAGAATTGAACATGGTGTTTTAGATAATATGTTTTAGAACTAAACATAATGGTTTTAGATAATGTTTTAGAACTAAACATGGTGTTTTTAGAGAATGTTTTAGAATTGAACATGGTGTTTTTAGAAAATGTTTAAAACTAAACATAATGTTTTTAGATAATGTTTTAGAACTAAACATGGTGTTTTAGATAATATTTTAGAACTGAACATGGTGTTTTTAGATAATGTTTTAGAACTGAAAATCGTATTTTTAGATAATGTTTTAGAGCTAAACATGGTGTTTTTAGATAATGTTTTTGAACTAAACATGGTGTTTTTAGATAATGTTTTAGAACTGAACAT